AAGTAGTCTGGAGTTTAATGTACAGCTGCTAAACACACTTCGTGAACTACACAGTTTTCATTGCAGTTGCAGTGCAGGAGTTCAGTACACGAGGTTTTTGCGAACATAATGTCTGAACCAGAGAAACGGAAAAGAAACAAAATCTAACCTTCGATCCTGTTGCTTCAGAAGTACAATTAGCGGGATTAGTAAGGGCGGACAAAGTGCTGGGAAGTTGCAGCATCAGTACAGAATCGCCGTCATCTAAAAATAATGTTAATTGTTAGGTAGTGCAGCAAATATTTTTGCTATCTGTTATCTACTATACTGATTCACAGCGACTCGTTACACACTCCACCACGTCAGCTTCCTCGCTGCCATCACTGTGATGTTTGTAAAACATTGGGCTGTGCTGAGGCCATCTCTGTCCATCATTTCTTTGATGTTTGTTACAACCATCGTAAAAGCATTCAGCGCATGGCTTACCTGGCACCTTGAAAAAAAAAAGAAATCTGAAATCTAAAGAAAATTCAGAATAGTAATGATGCTAAAGAAAAGCGATGGCGAAATGCTTATTTACTGTCCGATATTTTTACTGTCAAATATTTGCAAGATTCTCATGTGTAATTTATGCCTGAGTCAAGCATTTACTGAGAGAAATTCGAAAACAAGCAGACAAAGTCTGCAACACTGACCACGTCTTCATCTACAACAGCTCGTAACAAAGCATACAGTTCCGTTGAAAACATGTTGTAGAAGAGTGCAACACCAATCGATTTATCTAATTTACACGCTTTTTTACCTCAAAACGCAAGCAACTCGTTGTAGGGAGCCCCAAATTGTTGAAGAATTCATTAAATTTTACTTGCAAGCAATGTGAAGGGGAGACTGGGCTGAAAATTTACGAGAGAAATCCAAGTGGTAGGCAGCTAGGTTCTGCTCCCACTTCAGCAGAAAGTCGTAGAATAATCGTTAGCAGTTAAATCTATGTCAAAATCAAAAATCATTCGCTCTGTATGAAGGGAAAGCATTGAGAAATATTCTGAGGGTAGCAAATGCTAACAACAACCATTACTGACAAGAAGTTCGTACAGTCCCTTCCTTTATGAGTTGCTTAAAAGCGCGACGATCGCAGGAGTGATTCTCTAGCATACGCCAGTAACAGGTTACTATCAAAACGGACAAATGAATCTTAGGACTGGTTGTTCTATTAGGGAATCAAACTTTCTGTACAGATAATAGCGCTACTTCTTCCACTGCGCCACGATGGTAAGCAAATCTTTACAGGGTAAACAGCAGAAACGAATAATAAACTGAAATGCGAAGCAATCGTGATGGAAAGAACCAACCAGGATGGGTAGGAACAAGATGGATAGCCCTCAGAAAGTTACAAGACATATTTTCCAGCAGTAATGTAGCATCAGCTGAGAAAAAAACGTTA